ATGAATGAATTTTGCACAGCTCCAACAGTATGGTAATTCATGTTCGGACTGCACTTGTGCTAATCTGTCATCGCGCAAGTGTTGTTGCACATAATAGTTTACTCTGATATTAAAATGATAATTTTTGAAAAATAATAATCGATCTTGATTATTCATATGATTTATGTGCCCACAATATTGTGATCAAGAGAGAGATGATCGTTATTAGATGAAACTTAGATACTTCGCTGTTACGGTATGATAACATTTTATTTTATCTCCGATATTAAAATCTGACAGCGTCAATATCAACGCTTACACAGGATGAATCAACAAATCGAGATAGACGCTGACAACTTGTATGCGAAATATAACTTTCAAATAATTACAGAAATATGTGCATTTGCGTATTTCAACCACAAACAAATGTCAAAAGGCATCCATGCTGGGTGCGAGCCAAAACGATAGAGGCGAAGTATATATATATATATATATATACGGCAAGTATATTTAATATATTTAATACGATTAAACCAGTGTTGAATTTTATAGATTTTTTAAAAATCTATGTAATATCTCACTTTTATACTTACTGTTTAGATTATTTATATATATATATATACGGCAAGCATATATTTTATATTTAATACGATTAAACCAGTGTTGAATTTTATAGATTTTTTAAAAATCTATGTAATATCTCACTTTTATACTTACTGAAGCAGAAATTTAGATTATCCATATTTTAGACCAATCGTTTTCCTTCAATTATATTTGAATTAACATTTTTTTGCGATACTAAAACAATATATTTTGAACCAGACAAAACTAACTTCTTTTTTAAAAATTATTTGTAAAATACGTAATATACAAAAATTCGGATTTAAATTATAAAAGAGTACATGTTCACTCATATTTAAACATTCAATAAAGCTGTTAGACGACTAATTGCGAAATCTCGATATTTCTCGAGTACGCCACACAGGATTGATGCGATAACGCGTGATTCTTTTGAAGCTAATCCACTCGATGAGTGGTAAAACCCACGTAAAGTAAACGTGATCTTTGTTTGATTGATCGGCGCGATATATTTTTTCGAAATCATGTCCTAGTATTTCGATTCTTTGGTGCCGTGTGCATTCAGTGTTTAAATACAATGAACGAAACAGTAGCGACGATCACAAATGCTCCTGTCTCGTTAAGGGTAAGCCAATCTTCTGGAGAAAGTACCTTAAAATAAATCACAAAAATTAAATAACTGACTGATGACAATAATTATAAACAATTAAGTTTTCTTGCAAGAACTGCGTGTTGCATTATAATCGAAGAAAGTATTCGCGATAATTATGACTATTCGGAACTGACAATCAATAAAACTTAATTTTGCACATTAAAATAAAGGAAACCGTGTTTCTACAGAGTCATTATGTGGAAGGTAATAGTGTTGTGCACGATTCTGAGTCTGGCGGTCGCCCAAAAAGCCAGATTCAATAATTACAAAGTCTTCAGGATTATCCCAACTACAGAGGCGCAAGTCGAAATTCTACGCGAGCTGGAAGAAATCCCTGATGGAGTGAGTAAATCTCTTTTCCGTTACAGATATTTAAATTACAGATATATGTATAAATCAAATAATATATGCATACAGAATTGCTTTTTTTGAAAAAAAATTACTATTACAAGCAATGATTTTATCAGTTAACATTGATTAAAAATTAGTTTCATGAAATTTACGCAATTTGATCAAAATTTACAAAATTAATTTTGCAAATTTTTTTATAAAATCATTTATAAAAAAATCATTAAAAATCAAGAATAAGAATAATAACTAATCAAATAATATATTTAATAGTATCAAAAATAAATTTTAGTACTAAGTATACAATATCGAATGTTGTTTACAGTTTTCTTTCTGGGAGGCACCGAGCTTTGTGGGCAGAAGTGTGGATCTTATGGTAGCACCACACAAATTGCCCCAATTCTACGAAATAATGGTTCAGATTGGAGTACCCTATCAGGTTCATATTGAAGATATTCAGGCGCTCATAGATGAAACGACTCCTATGATTCGGTCAAAATCGTTCGATTTCACCAGCTATCATACTCTTGATGAAATTTACGAAAAACTAGACGACTTGGCCAGGCAGTATTCGGACAAAGTGGAGACTATTATAGGCGGCAAGACATATGAAGGACGTCAAATCAAAGGTGTCAAGCTTTCCTTCAAGGCGAATAACCCCGGAATCTTCATCGAGGGTGGTATTCATGCCAGGGAATGGATCAGTCCGGCAACTGTCATGTACATTTTGACTCAATTTTTGACCAGCAATAATACAGATGTCAGAGCTCTGGCCGAGCGTTATGATTGGTACATTTTCCCCTCGTTCAATCCTGACGGATACGTATACACACACACCACGGTATAAGCCATTTTTCAGGATATTGGATGAAATTGATTTTTTTTTTTTTTTAATTGAAATCATCTCTATCAATTATTTGTAGAACCGAATGTGGAGGAAAACGCGTAAGCCGTATAGTCTCCTTTGTGCTGGCAGCGATCCCAATAGAAATTGGGATTACAAATGGATGAGTAAGTATTAGTATTTTTTTGAACACACATAACCGTAAAAATAAAGTGAATAAAATGTTATCTCTCTTAAGAATTTAGAGATTGTTAAATATAATAATTCTGAAGAGAGGAGCTTCAAAAATCTGGAAAGCTCATGAAATTATTAAATTAATCCTATGTTTGTTAATAACATTATAATTTGACATTTAATAGCTGGAGGTTCTAGCAGCAATCCATGCTCCGAAACCTATGCCGGAAGTGCGCCGTTCTCCGATATAGAAACAAAGAGTATGTCTGAATACATCAAGTCCATAAAAGATAAATTCGACGCGTATATCTCGTTCCACAGCTACTCGCAGCTATTAATGTTCCCTTACGGCCACACAAAAGATCATCTTGAGAATTATGACGAGGAAGTAAGTAAATATTAATATCATAAAAATATAATGATTTAGAAAAAATTTTGGATAAATATAAAAATAATATTTTTTATAAATTAATAAAATAATAATAATTTTTTTTCTTGTTGTATCACCATTATTATTACACTATATCTTTATTAATATGGTAATAAATTACGTGCAAACCAACTAAATTATGAACCAATGTGAAAAGGACTTTATATTGAAAGCGAAGTATTTATTCTTTCTACGGGGGACTGATCGAGAAAGTGATATTAACAGCATATTGATCCAATTTATTTAAAATATAAATTCTTATATATGCCATGCTTTCTTTTATATATCTGTCCCAAAATAAACACGCTGTCAAATGTAACCGTATCTTATCTGTAAGATGATCACTGGCTTAATAACATAAATTTATGTGATTTTTGTGATTTCAGTATGCTATCAGTTCTAAAGCGATTGCAGCTCTCAAACAGAGATATGGAACAGAGTATGTAACAGGAAATATTGCCGAGACGATCTGTAAGTAAAATAATTTTAACTTATTTTAATTTCTCTCTTTAGTATATATAATAATGTTACTCACACATTACATTTAAACATTATTTCATTATATGAATTTATTGTCTGTTTTTAAATATTATGAATTTAAAATAAATAAATATTCAATCTTTCTAGATGTAGCTAAATTAAATATAAAACCCGTTTTTAGATGTGGCCACTGGAAGTACTTGCGATTACATAAAAGGCATTTATGGCAAACGTCTCTCCTATACTTATGAATTGCGTGATCAAGGTCGTTATGGCTTTTTATTACCTCCAGATCAAATTATCCCGACTGGAGAAGAGACTTTGGATTCTCTCGTAGCCATGTTTAAAGAAGCTGCAGTACGTGGATTTCCTAACAAAAATTAAGATTAACTTAATTGATTGTAAATTTGATATTTTATGTCAATAATGTATATTTTTATTACAAGTATAAATTGCTGATTTTTATGATATTATTTTATAATTAATTGACGAATAAATTTTGGTATTTTGATTTTTAATGATGGTTCGAATTTCAATTTCTTATGCCTTTATCATCCCAAATAGTGAGATCATCAATATTTGAATCTGGCTATCTTTGGAAAAAAACTTATTTTTTAAATAATATTTTAGATATGCATATAATATCTTTAGATATGCATTTCGTAAACTTAAAAATTTAATATATTTTATTCATCATATTTACATCAGTTACTTGTTTGTTTAAATCAATTTCCTTGATTACAAGTGGCACGATTAAAATCGATCGTATGATAAATAATTTACAAATCATTCACGATAAGCGTCTTTATGATAAAAGTGCATAGATAGATAAAGATAATAATTTACTTGCGCAAAAATTAAAACGTAAATATAACTGCACAAAAATAATGAAAGTATATAATTGTTGTTTATCGAAACAAATATAATATTATATTAATTTATACAGCCACTGGAGTAAGCATAGATCTTCAATAGTTATTCATTACTAATACATCTAACATATAGAAAAAAAAAAAGAATAAACATGTTCTTGAAAAGTAACAACGCTTTTTAAGTTATAATACGTTATAATTTAATAGTAATTTGTTAATGATTCATCTATCAATTAGTAAGGAGAGAATAGATTAATTGTGCCAAAAAATACATAATAATTTTTCTTTAAATTAATGTTATTAACGTTTTTTTATTTATAGTCATGATATAATTATAGATTTAATTTTGTTTTTGATGATTATTAATTGATTTTGTTGTAACTTTATTTTCAACATATTTAAGCATTTTTCATACTTTACACATACAATGAGAAGACACTGAATAACCGAGAAATATTGGAAATAATTATTTGCGAATTTAAGAATATTTTAAAGCAAGTTAGTAACGCATATATATATATACATATATATACACATAAACATCAGATTTTAAACGCAAACAACTTATTGTTAGTCACGTAAATATTGTTCGTATTTCGCCGGTGTCAGACGTGTTTCTTAGTTGCTCTGTTTACATATTTGAATCCAATTGTGTGAAATTATGTCAATTTTCAAGAAAAAAATTTGTTGAAAATGTGTAATTTAAAAATTATCATTATTTCCATTCTATAACATTAATGGATTAATTTTTTGTCTCTCTGATATCAATTATTCCTAGTGTAACGAAATGTTTGGATTTGAAATAAAAAGGTATAAGCATGATTATTCGTATTTAATAAAGACTTTTAATTTGCATTCTTTAGAAAATAGCATATATCTAATATCGTTTTTTATTTTGATATCATAAAAGCAAATGCTTTAATACACGATTTTTTAATTAAACTATGAGAATTAAGTTTTTAAAAGCATAACATTATCGATGATTAAGTTGTACACTAAAATACATAGTATTATAAGGAAAAAAATTATTTTTCTTGATAATTGTAATTTGATAAGTAATAAAAATTATATTTGTGCATTAAAGTTATGGAAAAATGTTTGTACAGAATCATGATGTGGAGCTTGATTGTATTAAATATGATCATGAGCTTAGCTATTGCTCAAAAAGCTACTTTTGAGAATTATAAAGTTTTCAGTATTATGCCAACTACACAGAGTCAGTTCCAACAACTTTACAAAATAGTTAAATTTCATGACGGAGTAAGTAGATCCTTCGTATGTATATTCAGTCCGATTTCTTCTTTTCTTTGAAGGAAATTAGATTACACAAATTCATTTCGCACTGAAACTTACAAGATAAAAATTTTACAATTATACAAACTAGTTTTTTATTTACGATTCATAAAAGTAAGAATAAAATTAAAGAATAAACGGCTAAAAATTTTGTCGGCAGATTAAAATTAAATCTTAATTAAGCAAAATTGCGAAATTGAATGTCTTTTACAGTTCAGCTTCTGGAATATAGCGGGGCTCAAAAATAAAATAATAAATCTTATGGTAGCTCCGCACAAATTGCCGCAATTTCACGAAATAATGGCCCAAATTGGTGTATCTTATCAAATCAACATCAAAAACGTTCAAAAACTTATCGATCAGACGATGCCTGCGAACCGATCGATGTCTTTCGATTTTAACAGTTATCACACTCTCGACGAAATCTATAAGAATTTAGACGATTTGACCGAACGGTATCCAGACAATGTACAGATCATTATAGGTGGCAGAACATACGAAGGACGTCAGATTAAAGGTGTCAAGGTATCATTCACGGCGAATAATCCTGGAATCTTTCTCGAAGGTGGAATTCACGCCAAGGAATGGATCTCGCCGGCGACAGTCATGTACATCTTACATCAAGTACTGACCAGCAAAGACGCGGACGTTAGAGCCTTGGCAGAGAGTCACGATTGGTACATTTTTCCCGTATTTAATCCTGATGGATATGTATACACACACACTACGGTAAGTAATATTTTGTAATATTATATGGTATTATATATTACTTTTAAATTGAGATCATCCACACGAGTAAAGATTTTTTAATCGTTTCCATTGTGGAGAATCGAATGTGGAGAAAGACTCGTAAGCCATCCGATACCTTCTGCATTGGTGTAGATCTTAATAGAAACTGGGGTTATAGATGGAATAGTGAGTATCCTGTGAAAAGAAGGCTATAATGATTGAAGAGAACAAAATATCATCAACAGTACAGATTATTTCATGAATTTTAAACAATTTTTAGAAATTTGAAACTTTTAGAACTTTTTGAAAGGAATAAGGAATTAAAAGTTAGTTCTATATTATATTAATGTTAACGTTAATTTTTATTTGATATTCTTAACTTTAGAAAATAATACTAAACCATGTTCCAATGGCTATGCGGGAAGTGCGCCGTTCTCTGAAATAGAAACGAGAAGTATATCCAGATATATCAAGACTATTTCCAACAAGTTCTATGCGTACATCGCATTTCATAGCCATGCGCAGCTGTTGTTATTTCCTTACGGGCACACAAAAGATCATCTTGACAATTACGACGAATTAGTAAGAAATTTTGTTAATGCAACACAATAAAAATCTTTAAAAAAGTTTTAGATAATAATATTTCTTTAAATTACAAAATATTTTCATTTTATTATATATATATGTATTATTGTCATTATCATCATTGTTCTTGTCACTAAAAATTAATAGAAATTATTCTTTAATAAATCAAATATCAAAATTGATAATTTTATATTAAAAACAATATTTATTCTTTTTATAGACTCATTGATTATATAAATTTGATTTTTATTGTATTTTTTATTTTGACATTTTTTTATTTCAAATCTGTATTTATTTTTGGATTAAATGCTTTAAGTTTAATCGTTTAATCATATCATTGTCAGTACTGGCATCCATGTCATGTATGTAT